GGGGAGAGTTGGTAAGTTACTGCGTTCGCCTTTTGACATCTTGCCTCAAGTTCCCTAACAATTCTTCCATCATCTGTGAAGATGCTCCCCAAATATTTAAATTGCTGCACTTGTTTGAGTTGTTCGTTGTTAACTTGAATAGTTAGTATATTAGGTGTTCTACTTATTTTCAGAATTTCTGTTTTGGTGATGCTGATCTTCATGTTATATTCGTTGCAGACTGTGTGTAGCGCATTTACGTGGATTTGAAGTTCTTTTTCGTTTTCATGTATTATGCTTTGGTCGTATGCGAAATGTATTTCGTTCAGTTGGGGATGTACTTTTTCAGGATCGGCGTGTATGTTTTCATTATAATGATCTCTTTCAACTAACCCTGACTCACTGCTTGGTGTAGTTAACAGTTCGCTTATCATTACATGGTTTGCTGCTGTTGTTATTCTGTCCATGTATATATTGAATAGTAGTGGTGATAGTACACAGCCCTGTCTTACTCCTGTTCTTAGTATGAATTCGTCTGTCACACCAACATTTGTTCTAACTACGCTTGAGCTTGTTTGGTACAGAGATCTGATGTTGTCTAGTAGCTGACTTTGTACTCCATAGTCGTTCAATATATTCCATAGTTTGTTCCTGTCTACCCTGTCAAAGGCTTTTTCTTGGTCAATGAATGCTATATTGAGTTGTTTGTTATATTCTATTGCCTTTTCACTAAGTTGTCTTAGGGTGAAAAGGGCGTCTGTCCAACTTTTTCCTTTCCTAAATCCAAACTGAGCTTTACTCAACTGTGTCTCTACAATATGTTTTGTTCTTGTCTCAAGTACTTTTGAATATAACTTCCCTACGTGGCTCAATAAAGAAATTCCTCTATACGTGTCACACTCTCTTTTATTGCCCTTGTTTTTCCAAATTGGGACCATAATAGCTTTTTGCCAATCCTCCGGTGTTTTCCTTTCGTTCCATGCTACCGTGAATATTCTATGTAGCCATTTTGCTCCGGTTTTTCCGCACGCTTTAATTGCCTCGTTCGTTATACCGTATATACCTGCTGAGTTATTATTTGGGCTCATCTTGATAACTCTCTCAACTTCTTGAATTAGAATGCAAGGTTCTTCTTGTTCTTCCTTATAGGTGGAGTAGTATTCTTTAGTTTGTGTATTTGTTGGATTGAGTAGCTCGTAGAAGTATTCCTTCCATCTTTCCTTCTTTCTGATGGCGTTAAAAAACGGCGTTCCGTTTTTATCATTAATAATGTTGGTAGGGTTAAAACTTTCGTCTCTTATTCTCATAGAATGTACACTTTTGTAAAAGTCTCTAGGTCTTTCCCTTGAAATTTTCACAAGTTGTTCGCCATATTTCTGCCATGAGTCCTCTTTTGCCACTTTGATTATTTGTTTAGTGGATTTTCTGGCACTTTTGTAGTTAGTATAGTCTTCTACTGTCTTTGTTTGTAGCCATTTTTTGAACAGTTTTTTTTTTTTTGTCTTTATAGATTTTTTTATATCTTCATTCCACCATGGTGTTCTTTTCTTAAATCTTCTTCTATGTTGTTGTTTCCCACATGTTGAATTCAATGTTTTTAGAATGGATTTTTTGAAAATGTTCCATTCTGTATCTATGTTATCTGTTTGTGCTGGTAATGTTTCATACATACTAGACATCTTGGTGCACACCTCTTTCTTGATTGTATCCTCCTCTAGTTTTTTTTTAAGTTGGTCACGTATACTCGTTTTTGTATGTGTTGTTTCTTATTTGGAACATACCTCAGCTGAGATAGCACCACAGGCCGGTGGTCAGTGTCCATACTGATGTTTGGATAGTCTCTTGCGTCTGTCACTTTGTTTTTATGTTTTTGTCTAACAAGTATATAGTCAATTTGCGATGACTGATCTAAGTTATTCCATCTGTACCATGTCTGCATATGTGATTTACGATGTTTGAAGAATGTGTTTGTGATAATCAAGTTTTGTTCATAGCACAAGTTAACCAGTTCTTCGCCATTACTGTTCCTTGTTTTTGTTGTATCACTGAAATTGCCCATGCATATCTCTTGTTCTTGCTTTTTCCCTACTCTCCCGTTAAAATCCCCCACGATAACTAACTCGTCTCTTTCGTGACTCTATTGAGTGTGTCTGACAGCTGTTCACAGAATTCCCGTCTCTGTTCATCATTGTTGTCGTCGTTGCACGGAGCGTAGACCTGTATGTCCAAAAGTCAAACGAGCCAAATACTGAGTCGGTTCCTTTTTATACCCAGTGGCCAGAGTTCCCCCTATTTTACTGTCTAAGACTAAAAGCTGTTCCTGTGGCCTCTTGGTCATTTTAAAACTAGATTAAATCAAAATCGTTGAGCTGCTGAACAGTAGTCTTCGTCGTTTCCAGCCTATTACATTATGTAAAGTAAAGGACCCTTTTCCACGCTTTTAGGCGTTTAGGGCATGTAGGGCTAGACCTATATTTTATAGACCAATCGGCACTGGCGACGAAGTTATCTACCGGCCAGCCAGTGGGGGACCCGGTCGCAGATGATATAAATGAAGTTCAACCCCACCAGAACCAGGAAAAATGTGGTCCAATATTAGGACGGCAACAGATAATTAAAAATTAAAAAAAATAAAAAAACGAAAAAAAAAAAAAAAAAAAAAAAAAAAAAAAAAAAAACGTGCATCACCGAAGGGGAAGCTTTAGGTTGTAATTATGACCAGGTTATGTGCGCCATATAAAATTGCTTAGCACTGCACGCCACCAAGAGCCATAAAAAGGACTCCTGCGGTGTTGATGCGATCATAGTAGACAGACCCAAATACTGCGGTGACGAAGGCGTCTACCAGCCAACCAATGGGTGACCAGGTCGCCGAGGCTATGTATGATACGGTGGGTAGTTGTAACCTATCAGGATATGATAAGGGCGATAAACACCCGGTGACACAAAGTGCCACAGTGCGGATGAGGATCACCCATGGAGAGGTTCCAGAAACCACTTTCAGCCGTCAGGCCAAATATATGCCCCGGCTTTATTCAAGCCCCCCACCCTCGGCAGAAGCCAGGGTGGGGCTTCAAACAACAAAAAATTGCACCCCACAGGGGGAGCAAGGAGTATATAAAGCTTTGGATGATACGTGACCAATTCTGATTATATAACCAAAATCCTTGAAACGACAACTCAAAGCTTACTGTAGCAAAAGTTATCTCCCTTTTGTTTTGTCCAGATTAGGCAAACTATTTCGCGTGCGCCCGTGTGTGTTTCCGCCCCTTCCTACATATAACTCTGCAACTTATACTTGTAGGTGCTACCAAATATAAATTATGTTATAGATAGGCAGCCATATGAATACATGGTAATCACTGTCTACACGAAGAATACTATTACTGTACAGCATTAAATTACAACAACAACTGCTAAGTCCCAGCCGTGATCATGATTATCGGTCTATGAATCAGATCTGTGTTTATATTTTGAATATTCAATTCGGGATATTATTTAGCAATATATTTATTTCCTTGCCCTATTTCCATCAAATCTGTTAGCTAGCATTAAATATTTCCTACTATCTCAGCCAGCACCCCCTTATCTCTACATTTTCCAGTGTTTACAAGTTTTCTCGCATCATTTTGTAGTTTTTAATTTGCATCTAAAAAAATGGTCTAAATTGTTTTATTTTCTATCTTTTATACATTTTTTTACAACCCATTTATTTTAATTTACAACCTTTGCATCTTCGCCAGAAGTATATTTCTGCTGACGTCTGATATTTCTCGATTGGCTTGTTTATTGTTGAAGTCTCACATGCATTGACTATTATAGACAATATGTAACCCTATATGTAGCTTTAATACACAAATAAGGCAAGAATCCAGGCAAGAGTATGTGTCTAATTGTATACGAAAACGCCGCTGGAACTATGTCGGCCACGCCCTTAGAATGGATAAATCAAGACTTCCTTACCAAGCCCTCATTTGGACACCACAGGGGAAAAGGTCTCGTGGAAGACCAAGGGAAACCCTACGCAGAACTATCATCAGGGAAGGCTCACTAATGGGCCACTCAAACATCCAAGACCTACAACAGATTGCAACGAACCGCCATGCATAGAGAGTCATGACCTCTGCCTTATGTGCCGCACTCGACACAAGAGGAAAGACTAACTAACTAACTAACTAACTAACTAACTAACTAACTAACTAACTAACTAACTAACTAACTAACTAACTAACTAACTAACTAACTAACTAACTAACTAACTAACTAACTAACTAACTAACTAACTAACTAACTAATATGTAGCTTTAACTGATCACTCATCATCATCACCATAAACCACTTCTGCCGTTAAATATCGTAGGGCAGAATAGTTTGCCATCCAGTGCACATTGGCTGCCACTGGCTATTGTCATACCGCGAAGGCTTAGATTGTCTCTAATGCTGTCGATCCATGTTTTTCGAAGCCGTCCTTTTGCTATTGTAGCTGATCTTCTGGGATGTAGCGCTTGTGATAGTATCTGATCTTGCTGCATTCTAACGAGATGGCCAAACCACTTGATCTGCTTTCTCGATGAATCTAGTACAAAGTGTCGTTTGTACCACTGTTTGTTGTTAAACATTCCTTCCATCTTGCAGAAGGTTATTTTGAAATAAAAATTTGCGTCTTAATCCCTCTAAGACACCTCCAACCTGATGTTAGCGACAATTAGCACACCCCAATCAACATCCTGTTATATCGTTATACGTCACATAGGGTTTACAGTCTAGTTTTCCATTTAATCGTTTGTAATCTGTTCTATATCACGACTGGAATCTACGCCGACATCTTCCAGCAACGTTCGGTTTAGGGCTTCCCTTAGACGTCTATGTTCTTTTATCGGTCCATCAAAATGGAAATATTTGTTATATTTTAATATTTGACCCTACAGCAGAAAAAAAATCTGGGGTAAAGGACACAGAAAACACTCTTCACATGGCCGGCTCTACTGCAGACGACTCTCTGTCTTAAGTCTACAGAAAACATGTCGGTAATTAGATTTACACGCTGCAGTCAGTTTCTCTCGGATAGAAAAGATGTTCGCCTATTCCATCACTATCTCAGGACAGTCTCGAAGATTTCTCAAACTCAGCAGCTTTTGCAGAAATCTGTCGCCACTGATATCGGTATGCCATATTTTGCTATATTTATTTTTAGTTTTGAAATGTTTGGTAATGGTAGGGGTTTGGTGGAGCAAACTTCACAGAGCAGACTGACTGAGACTGAGAGCTTATGAGAAGAAGCACGTTAAATACATATACATACTATATAGCAATAATGGCACTGAAACCCCATGCGTTAACTGCATAAAACGTTTCTTAATGAGCATTCTCATCATTTCATTTTATAGTACTAGTAGTTGGGTACCATTATCATTGGTACTTCTACCAAGAGTTGAGAGAGAGAGAGAGAGAAAACAGTATGCATGATTACGTAAGATAGATGTTGAGTTGTTATTGCATAGATTTTACTGTTTTTTACTAATTCATGAGAGCTCCCAACATTCCACTCAACTTAAATGTTGTAAATACAAACAGTAAACACAGTAGGCCTTTGTTTAAAAAAAAAATTAAAGTTAACTTAAAGATTAAAATCAGCAAGGCAGAGGACAAAGTCTGCTTATTAGTACTTACTAAAGCTAGTTTAACATGCCCCCCCCCCCCTTTTCCCCCAGGCGTAAACTACAGAAATAAGGTGTATAAATATTGTCTAAATTTTAAAAATGAAATTTTGATAAAATAAACTGCATATATCTTATACAAGTCCATGTGCTGAAAGAGTTTTTTCACTAAAAAAAAAAATTTTTTTTTTTTTAGTTTTCCCCTCCAGATTTATATTCTGTAGGATTAACCTCTCAGAGATGATAATCAGAGAACTACAAATGGTGGAAACTCTGTTCAGCCACATAGTAATAATGCACAGTTGTATTGGAGCAGCACAAAACAGAGAGCCCTGTCACTTACACACAATGAAAGCAGACCTAAAGGTCTCTGACGCAAGTGATAGACAGATGGAATATCCAGAACCATGAATACCAGTCTCTACATAGCACACAAGACTGGCAGTCAATGCCTTTTCAAAACCTGATGCTGCTGAAAGGCCACACTGGGATTAGAGAACACAAGATAATATCCTCTAACTGTGTAACAAGGGTACTTTTAACTATCACTTTTTTTGTTTTCAGATGGACTGTCAAAACAGAGCTATTCCACTTCTGTGAAACCACACATGACACCAGCAATGCACAAATGGAAGCAGAAGAAAAGGAAAAGCAAAACCCAGCAGAAAATGGAAATGGAAAAGCTGCATGAAGAATTAGTTAAATGTGGGTGGCTTTGTGTATATTAACTTTCTAAGTGAAAGCTCTTGGATCTTCTTCTTCAGCATTCCAAGCCCTTGATGTTCATTGCTGAGGATATCACCCACCTGCATTAATTAATGTAATTGGTCTTCTCTTTCCACTTGGTGACTGACGCCAGTTGTTTGTAGGTCTGCCTGTAAATTCTTTCTCCACTGCTGTCTTGGTCTGCCTCGTGGTCTACTCTTGTTAACCTTGTATGAGTACATAGTTTTTGTCTCTCCCATTCTTTCTATATACGCCCAACCATTACTGTCTGTTATCAATCCTAATGCTAATAATTAGTTATGATTTAAACAGCTTATGAATTTCATTGTTGCTTTCCATTCTCGTCTGTTGCATCTTTGATAGGTCCAGAGATTCATTGAAAGACTTTTCACAGAAGTTTGTAATAAGGCTTTGTCTCTTTTAGTTGAACTCCAGGTGTGTAAGTTAGTACATGTTTGTAATTATTGTTTCTTTTCTTATATGTAATACTGATGGATGTAACAATTATGAATGACTTTCTCCCCTGTGATTCAAAGAGCTGCATCCTGGATGTCAGGTCATCAGGACAAATACCAGATACCCTGTTCAGTTCCCAAGAGGTTATAATTAGGGTCTGTAGCAGACTGGCCAAGTTGACTTGCCCAATTGCACTAAGGTTTTTTGGATGAAATAGCCCCCCTCCCCCCCCCTCCCCCACCCCCTAACAAAGGACAGTTTGTTAACTGATGTTAATGGCCCTATAATTAATAGGTGGGCTGCCTATATTTTCCTGTGTCTAATGTTTTAAAACCAAGTCCAACAGTAATTAGGGCATCCCTATGGTTATATCAAGGACTACCCATGTACCCTGCTGTCTTAAATGGGTAGTTTTATGCTCATGTATGATTTTATTTTGATGCAAATTTATGAGTGCACAGCAGAATTGATTGGGGTCTCACCATGTAATATTCTTTGGGGAAAAAAAAGACAACTAGCCAACAACAACAAAACGGTAGTTCAGTGTGGCCAGCCTTCATTGTGGATACAGCACTTAATTGTTGTTGTTGTCACTTATGGGTGTGATCTAATGTTAATAGAAATGTTGAATATCTATTGCATGATGTAATTTTGATGCAGATACATGATTGTGTATAGTATGATGAAATGGTGAATGTATACTGTGTGCTGTAATTTTGATTGAAATTATGAATGTTTACTGTTTAAAAATTTTTATTTTTTATTTTTTCAGTGTTGACAAAACGTGCCATTGCCTTAGTAAAGAACAAGTCGCTGTATGAAGCCCAGAGAGGCGTGGTCACAACTCATGTATTCACCAGCTTTCTCCATATGGATGGTAATGAGAGATCACTCTCAGCCACAGAATCTATTGATGCTTTAGAGTTACATCCTTTTGATTTCAGAAATCATAGTGATTATGTTGCTAAAACATTGGAGGCACATTTGAAGAAACAATCTAAGATGCATTCTGAGGCAAGGAGTATCACTGGAGAAAGAATAAAACCGGATGTTTCAGCTTTAGATCCAGCGTACAATGGTACTCTGAGTGGAGTTACTTCTACACAAAGCACCCCAAATATTACTGCAGGCTCAGATGGCAGGGGTAAACTATTGTCGTTTAAGGTACCTAACGTTTCAGCTACAGGGCATAATGAATACCTGCAACTGTCGTTATCAGATATTTTCAGTCCTGTGGCAAATGAATCAGTGAAGAGTCGCAATAAGCATATTCCTGTAGATTTCCATTCCAGCCTTCAAAAATTCAAGTCAGAGCTTGAAACTACAATAGCCAGGTATGCATCCAGTAGCAGGCCATTGGCACATGATGCATGGGATGATGATGTCCCACAGGAAGAAGCGGATGCTCCTGTGGTGATAGAAGCACCTGGTCCTTCACCTGAGAATTTGTCGACCAGTAATGCTCAGGCAAAGCTAACCAAGAGCTCACTACGTCAAAAGGAGATGAACAAACATTCTCATAGAAATCTTGAGGATGACATGGAGTCTTTGACAGCTAATCATCCAGGGCCAGGTACTGCTTTTAATATGTGGGATCCTTATGATAGAACTCATCAGAACGAACTAGATGAAGACGTCGATTTTGATGCTCAATCTCTTTTTAACAACCTGATGTTACCAGATTTCTCTGAAAGTATTTATCCTTCATGTACTTCTAACATTGCCGTAGAAAATAATCATGGAAACTTCGATAGTGCTTTTGAAGTAAGCAAAAATGTTTCAGATGCCGCCATTTCGAAACAAAACCATTCCAAAAGCAGGAAAAAAACGGCATTAAGTGACCAGAAAATCAGCGTTAAACAATCTAAAGATAAAAAAGCTATACAGAAGTCAAGTTTTGTGGGAGCAGACAAAGATTCTAAACAGAAACTAGAGCACATGAACGTGTTCCGGGAGCTGCAGGAACTAACTGATAAATCCTTTGTGGATGTGAGCTGTTTCACAGACAGTGTAAGTTACAGTCTGTCTTGTCATTGTTCATTACTGTCCCTATGTGGGTTTTTTTTTTTGGTGGGGGGGGGGGGGGGGGGGGGGGTAGACCCTCTGGCCTGACCCTCCCACTCAAGCAAGTTTTAAAAGATTACTAATTAGGGAATTACCGGGCTGAAAGGTATATCGCATCCTAGCTTTACATTATGACATAATATGCTAACCGTCCTTTTATGGGGGATTGCAGAAATAGAAGTTTATTACTGAAAGCATTTTTTTAATTATTTGTTCGTTAATGACAAAATGTCCACAGACAAAACATGCTGCCACCCAAAGTTACCCTAAATGATGAAGAAATTAAAAATGTCACAAACCTTGAATATCTAGGCTCTGTAATAAATAGCAGTGGAAACTGACAGAAATCAAAAGAAAGATAACCATAGCAATGCAAATATTAAACAGCATTAAAAACTATGGTTAAGCACCAGCAGGGAAATCCCTATAGCAACATATGGATGTGAGCCGTGGAGTATCTCCCAGTCCCTAAGAAATAAAATAGCTTTTGGGCTGAACTGCTATAGAAAGATTCTCAGAAAATCATGGACAAAGAAGAGGAGAAATGTTGACATTTTAAAAGATCTGAACATCAAGGAAGGTTGGCTAATAAACCGTATCTCGGAAGCTGAAATATTTTGGTCAAATCAAGCGCCATGGCGCGGATTAAAAGAAATAATAGAAGGTATGGTACCAGACAGGAGGGGCAGGGGCTGACAAACAGATGGGCACAGTATATAAGTGACTCCTTGAATGTGAAAATACATGAGGCGGGAGAGCTGTTGAAAGGCCGAGCTATTTTTTTCCAGGCAGACCGTGATAAGAGCGACATTCTGCAAAGGATAGCAACATGATGAAGATGATGTGCGTTAACGTTAATAAACAATTTTTTTTGTAACTTTGCTGCATAAAATTAAGAAATTCAAAGAAAACTAGCCCTGAAAGCAATCATGCAGTTCATTAAAGAGCAGCAGACTAGATGGTTTGGAAACTAATGAGAATGCCCTGGTATCATCTGCCACAGAGGGCCCTGGTGAACAAATATAATGGACCCAGAACAAGAGGAAGACCATGCAACATTGATATTAAGATTAGCCCTTAGAGAAATAGAGATCAATTTACACAATGCATTATAAAGAGTTTACAGACGATCCTCACACCCCCCCCCCCCCCCCCCCCCCCCGCCCCCATCCCCCCCCCCCCCCCCCCCCCCGCCCCCATCAAATTCTAACCCCCCTCCCCCATCAAAATTCTAAACCTCACATTTTTAAAATTTATTTCTTAAATTCTAACTATTATGTGAATGTGTGTGTTAATTCTAACCTTGGTATGTGTAAACTTGGTGAATTCTGGCCTTGTATGTAAACATGTTAAATTCCAAACCAAGGTGTTAAATGTTAAATTGAAATCTTGTGCTTGTAGAAATGTTAAACTTTAACCTCAGTAGGTGTAGAATGAGGGTTAGATCTGGCCCATGAAGACCTAACAACTGGCCCATGGATTACTGTCAGCTGTATTGTAATAATAAGCTTGATATACTTGGGCTGTGGCTTCTGATCTGTGACGATCCCCATTTTAGAAGTTTTTGGCCCCTGAATAATTGGAATGGCCCTGCTGTAAACCCGCATGTACGTGTTTGACACTCTAAACCCTTGTCCATCTTTCTGACACCCTTCTCTGTCTGTCTGACGCTCAGATACATTTTTTTAACTAGCTAAACCCTTGTCTATCTGTCTTACTCTCTAACCCTCATGTACATGTTTGACATTCTAAATACATGTCTTTCTATCTGACACTCTAACCCTCATGTACATGTTCAACCACTCTAAATACATGTCTATCTCTCTGACACTCTAACCCTCATGTACATGTTTGACACTCTAAATACATGTCTATCTCTCTGACACTCTGACCATCATGTACATGTTAAACACTCGAAATACATGTCTATCCATCTGACCCTGTAATCCTCCTGTACATGTTTGACACTATAAGCCAAATCTAGTCAGCTAAGTGTTCTCTGGGGCCAAAATATTGAATATTGGGATCGTCACGGGCCAGAGAACCGAGCCCCAGCTTAGAAAGATCATTAATACAATACATGCCGGACACTCTAAACCCTTGTGTACCTTTTGGACACTCTAAACCAGGGCTGTTCAACAAAGTTTACTCAGGGGCAGAAATTTTGAAAATGGGGATCGTCACGTGCCAGAGGCTCTAGTTCCAGCATAGAAAAGATCATGGATAGAATACAACTGGCAGTGAACCATAAGCCACATGCTAGCCTCCGTGGGCAAGATTTGAATAGCCCTGCTCTAAACCCTTGTCTACATGCCTGACTCTCTAAAGCCTTGTCTACATGCCTGACACTCTAAAGCCTTGTCTACATGCCTGACACTCTAAAGCCTTGTCTACATGCCTGACACTCTAAAGCCTTGTCTACATGCCTGACACTATCTAAAGCCTTGTCTACATGCCTG